TAATTATAGACGAAATCCTGACGAAATCAGGCGATTTTTAAAATATTCAATTAAGGAGTGGTATCGATATGGTGAACTTTTTGAACACGCGTTTCTCTTAGAGCAGTAATCAAAACATTCTGAAAATTTCACACATCGTCAATTTAATGATATTCTTTTATCTATATTGTTTTAGAAAACACATCAGACACTTTTTTCGTTCTTGGTATCATATGTTCGGAATGAAATGAAACATCTATCCCAACCTCATTGGAACAAAACGACATAAACACAACGTGTTTAGGTCTCTCAATATTGTAATTGTATAAAGGAAAGTTTGGCTGATTGGGGGGATTTGCTTTTTGTTAAATCAACCAAAATGTCCTTTGTAAAACAATAATATTGAGAGGTCTATGAACAAAAAACAATTTCACTAAAAAGAAAGTTAACAAAAACAGTTATATAAAATAACAAAAACAGTTATATAAAATATAAATATATAAATAATTTTTCCATTAAATTGTAGTCAGTCAGTCAGCATTACATAAAGGACCGTGTTTTTTACAGAATGGTCTCAATAACTGGTTAAAGAGAAAAACATTGTTGAATTCAGTTCACCATATCGATGCCTATCCTTTATGACACGCCGGCCAGCTTTTTTCAAAAGGAGTATTCCAGATGAAATTACCTCTAGCCTAGAATTGGCTAGAGACTCGAGTAAGTTTGGTCAATCAAGTAATCTACAAGTTCCAAATCATTGAAAACAGAAAAAACAAACGTGGACAAAAGAATTATTATTATTACTTAAAAACATAAACTGCTAACTTTTTATTTTCTATACTAGATATAGTATCACTCGCCACTTACTTTTCCTTTGATATCCAGATTTCATAATAGCATATGAAATCACAGCAAACGGTCTGTAGTCTTTCTCTGTTTCTTTATCTTCCTGATGTAATGTGTATTGACTAGCAATTAAAAACTAATTTATATTGAGATTTGCCTTAGTGTGTGTGGCTTGTGTAATTCTTTCACGTGTTCACGTAAAAAGAAAATGAATTATATAATTGCTCGTTATAATTCTCCAAATCTCCATGTGCATCGAATTCTCTCCGTTGTCATTAGTACAAATTGAAAAAATGGTGTGCGTATATGTGTGTACACTCCCCTCCATACGTTTGGCAACCGAGAGTCCCTCTTTGAACCGCATATTAAAGCCTGTTTATGTTTTTGACGATTATTAAAAATTCATCTAATTTATCATAAGTTTCCAAATACATGTATTAAAAATTATAACGAATCAAATATTAACAGGATTTATCATTAGAACGCTACCAAATAAAGATTCCCGATTGCGAAACTTATGAAGGGGAATGTACGTTTAAAGAATGGTTACGCGCCTCAACTGGTGACGCGGAGGCGTTCATGAGCGTTCCAAGGTACCCTCTGTGTATCCTACTCCCAATCTTAGTCTGAACATGTGGAGGAGACACACAAGTTTTAACTATTGTCAATTAAAAATGCAGGAAATTAATTACCTATCATATATCAAAATCAGTTGTGAAATTAATTGTTCCGCATTTTGGTATAATTTCAATTTCCTTTCTTCTTAACTGGAACACTGTGATGCGTTTAAAGATATCTCCCTTTTCGATGGCTAACTGACTAATAAACAACGATATATTGTAATATATTATATGACTCTGATTAATTATGTAATAATATATACTTCATTATCTCCATTTGATTTAAATTAAGATTTAGATTAATTAAGATTTTTTTATAAAGAATTCAGATTTTTCGATGGAATTAAAAGTCTGGTCATGGGGTAGTCATCCAATATCTGACAAGAGTGAACAGAAAATACCTTTACGAATACCTTGGATTGGTTTACAAGGTTGAGTTATTCCAAGCATGGCGTATAAAATCAAAAGAGCAATTTAGGATACAAAATAAATCTCAAGTAATTTACCCAGCATGCCCAACACCTAATCATATCTTGTCACCTGTCTGCTCTTGCATCTGAAAAAATCAAGTTGAACAGGTAACAGCGGTTTTCCTGGAATCACTGGTGGCACCAGTGATTCCAGGAAAACCGCTGTTACCTGTTCAACTTGATTACGCTGGTTACCGGAACGGTTCGTTTTGGTAACAAAATGTCGGAACGTCGAAGGTACGATTTTTCTTTTTTCCTTATTTCACGCGTTGTAGGCAGAATCCCCACGACATTTTTCTCACAAACGTGTATCAGCATCATATGTTTTGGAAAATGCACATGTTTGCGCCGGAAAAAATAGCTCAGAAGACAACAGAATCGTCGATTTAATTCCTCACTTGAGTTACATAAACGGTTTTGGTTAAAAGTGCAGATCTTAACCGTTTTTCGAAAACCGTTTTTGTAACTTAAGTGAGGAATTAATTCGACGATTCTGTTGTCTTCTGAACTATTTGTTCGCAAATATGTACATTTTCTTAAACATATGATACCAATACACGTTTGTGTTAAAAATGTCGTGGGAATTCTGCCTACAACGTGTGAAATAAGGAAAAAAGAAAAATCGTACCTTCTATGTTCCGACATTTTGTTACCAAAACGAACCGTTTCGGTAACCAGCGTAATCGATTGGATCACCAGTGGGAATGAAACAAGATTTTTGTGGCGCTCGCCTGCACTACGCATGCAAGCAGATTATTTAAAATTCAGATTCCGTTATCATTGACGATATCGAAGACGCTATATTTTGGCGATTCACGACCCAATTTGATAGAAATTGGGATTTCATATGATGCATCATCACAAGAGCTTAATACATGCACAGAATTAGCGTCGATAAAATTCCATGAAATGAGGACCGAGTGATTAACGAGTTGAAGCGACGGTTATGCCCGCCATTTGTGACAACGGTATCTGGCTTTACCATTGTCAGGCTATTCCGGTATGACTTTGAAAGAAAGCTATAAAAATACCCGCCATGTTGAACCATGTCATTTATTTTCTTTACAGAACTAGAAGTATTGCCGTGGTATGTTTATTTACGTTTGGACATCTCGGAGATCGCAAAATCTATTTTTTGAAATATTTCATCTCGGCTTATATTTCGTCTAATAGACTAGATGCGAGTATAAAAAATCTTGATTTACGCCATTAAATATTCAAAATTCAGTCAAAGTGATGTTATATTTGAAATCTACATGTACAAGTTTGAAAAATTTAATTATTTTTGAAAGTGTGACTTCTAGTTCGGGTTGATTCTCCATAGAGCCCATGTTACGAAATCACAAAAAGTGGAATATCTCTTCTTGTATTGGTCAGATAACATTTTCATTTACTGGACATATTTTGATTTGCATAACTATTAGATACATAAGGGTTATATGAAAATTGAACCACTAAAACAGATGAAATTTAAGTTAAAGGGAACTTTCTTCTATACCAGCCATGCTATCTGACCCGAACAAGCCACCTGGTGGTGAAACTGGTAACTACCTACTCGCATGGGGAAGTGGACATACGGGGGAGAGGACATAAAAGCTAGGAAAATAACATCCCCTGTGCCGTTAGATTATATTTATGACAGCGACGACACTCAATTACATTCTGATACTCATCACGTCTCCCTCCTTACAATAGATTTGTTTTGCTCCTTGTCTTTTGTAAGAAAGGTTATCCCACCCTAAGTGCTTTATATGATTGTATAATAGCATTGTATAACTGCAATATAAAACCAACACTCATCGTATACAACTCTTGAGAACGATATACAACTCCTGGATAGCGTATACAACTCTCCGACTTGATATACAACTGGTGAATTTAGATTAACCTTTTATTGATTACATATTAGGGTGGGATAATAAGATCATATAATGGTTGATTCTGTATATCGTTATACTCTCGTGAGTATATGATATATTCACTCGTTCCCTTCAGTCACTCGTGAATATATCATATACTAACTTGAGTATAAACACGATATACGGAATCAACCATTATATAACCTCATAATATACGATGAGTATCATAATTGCGATGCCATTTTATTTTGCAAAGAATGAGCTGTAAATATTCGATAATACAAAATATATAATTATATATGATAACCACGACTCTCATGACAGTTGTACCCCCTCCCATCAAGTGCAATGAATTCAGATCAAGACAGAAGTGTCATAATATCAGAGTATGTTCATGTTTGTTGATGTTGCTAGAGAAATAACGTTGTGATGAGTGTCAGAGTAAGTTGGCCTTTTTGCAAATGTACGGTCGCAATCCTCATCTTATTGAACAATCAGATACATTCTAGGCATGATATTTGTCAAATGTTTATCTTCTTACTTTCAAGGTACAAGTAGTAAATTGCAAAGAACAATTTCAAATCGCTGGTCACTTTCTATTTCTATAGTAGTATATGGTAGTATATCTACCCTGAATGTTTGATACGGATGGATGACTGCAAACCAAGGCAACATTATCTTACTGCAAATGAATACCACAACAGACAATGTTTTTGTTCGTTTGTTTTGTTTGTTGTTGTTTTTTTATTTTGCAAAGACATGTTTCACCATTCATGAAAAAAAAGTATTTACAAACAAGCCCTATTAATTGTCCTTACGGGTGTACTGTTTCCTTTAAAATATTCACAGTAGGAAAATCCGAATCGGACGCTGTTGTCTCGATGTATGACCGGTAAGATGGATGCCACATCTTTGAGATTTTCCTAGTATCTCCATGCAATATTTCCATAATATAATCCACATGTACTATTCTATTTGTATTAACCATATGCACTAGTTCATTTGTATTATCCCCGTGCACTATTTTATTGTATTATACCATGCACTAGTTCATTAATCCCCATGCACTATTTCATTTGTATTATCCCCATGCACTATTTCATTGTATTATCCCCATGCACTGTTTCATTGTGTAATCCATATGCACTGTTTCGTATGTATTATCCCCGTACACTATTTCATGATATTATCCCATGCACTATTTCATTGTATTATCCCATTCACTATTTCATTGTATTATCACATGCACTATTTCATTTCTATTATCCCCATGTACTATTTCATTGTATTATCCCACGCACTTTTTCATTCTTATTATCCCCATGCACTAGTTAATTCATTGTATTCACTATTTCATTGTATGCACTAGTTCATCTGTATTATCCCCATGCATTTCCCTTACTTTTACCAACTGGTTTCGTGATTTTCTTAACAGCTGTCTGAAATTTTCCCTTCACTCCCCCTGTTACTTTACTTTGGTTTGTCTTGTCAATCTTGACCGATGTAAGTGTTTCCACGGGGGTGACTCTTGATAGTCGTTTCTTGTTGTGACAGGCAATAGCCAGTCCAATAATTGATATTACCAATGCGATGATAGTAACACAATAACTCACAAGATCATAAATCTCCATGCTAATCCCAAATAGATCTATACCTGAAATAAAAAAGGATATTAAGTTGGTATCTTGTTGATAATAATGCAATCTCAATTTTCCAAGTAACAAGTCAATCTTGGGTATATTCGATTGAGAAACCCCATTTGACTGAAAGGACGCGGTTCTGGAAAAGGTGGGACATACGTGGCCTAGTCTCGGTATATTACTTTTGTCTTGATGTCTTGATATATTGCTTAATCAAAATGTCAGTTGAAGGATGTCGGAAAATATTATTTTACATATGTATGTCACTAGAACAATGAGAGTTAAGGGTCTGGGATCGTATATATTACAGTTTATACGTATATCATCCATATCACATAAATGACTTACTTGTTGCTGTTGAATCCTCGTCTACTGAGGGGCAAAGTACATTGTTAAATACTCTGAACCTCTGACCTAGATACAAAAAAAAAGAAATCGTTTCACATGACAAAAATTCATTTTTGATCAATAGCTATTTAATATTTCATTTTACGAGGATATTTACATAAATAAAATCAAAATATTGCGACTCAGTGTGAAAAGCCTCTTTTTGTTTTTGCTTTGCTAAATTACAAATAATACAGATACAATGACGCGCAAGACTGAATTTATACTCTTAATTTATACTCTGGAGGAAACTTCATGTTTACTGGGATTTTAGAAGTCCATTTGAAAAGGAACAAACAATGCTATAAAGCCAAAGGAACAAATGAATAAACAAAAAACAAACCTTTATAGTCGGCTGGTCCATTACAAATGAGATCACCTTCCAATGTGGCCTTCCGCACGAACGCCCACGTGAAGAACCAGGCGTTCTCGCATGTGCATTCCCAAGGCATACGGTCCATAGTGATATGACCCAATCCATCCAGGCCGTAAAAGGTGTCGCTGGGCAAGGAATCAAACTGCTGGCCACTGAAGTAAAACTTCATATTGAAATTGAGGAATTTACAATTTAAGTAATCGCGTAATCTAATGGGTGTGGAATAAAAAAGATATGCATTTCACAAAGAAAGGGAATGAATGTAAAAGAGGGAATAGTGTACGAAATGTTAAATCTTGTTCAGGGGGAACATATAATATGAAAAATGTGAAATAATGATTTCAGTTCTGTGATGACATTGATTACAACCCATGCTTCACTATTCCCTGCCCAATAGATGAGCTAGTCATAATCAATGTTCACTTTTATTACGAGATTTCAAAATTATACAAAAATGAAGTGATAATATATAGGCTACCTGAGAGTTAGTCTCTTCAGATCGAAGAATCCGTCCAAAACCAACGCATCAATTGTCTTCACACCATTCGAGTTGAGGATGACACTGCTAGCATTCTTAGCGTGTGAGAGGAAGCTAAAGGGGATTCTGCCGCTTGAGAACTGGGCTCTATCAAACACGATCTCCCCCTTGGGATCAAATAAAGACGTGTCTTCGGCAATATTTAAACCTTTGAGGCCATCTCTGTCTACGTTGCCCAGTGTTCCACCATAGAATGCGAGACTGTCTAGGGTCCCAAAGGCAGCAAAGGCCGACTCGGGGAATGTTACCAGTTGACATCTGCTGAAGCTTACAGCTTGAATCCAGTTAAGCCCGGTAAACGCACCAGGGTCCATCATGAGTGAGACACCGTAAGAGCAAACTATATCCAATCTGGCTGGTTCACCACCCATAACAAACGAATCCGTGTCTATATCAGCGAATGCAGCAAAAAGTCCTGAAGTCAAAGGCCTATTTACATATTTCAGAGTCAGCTGTTGTGGCTTTTGCGGAAAGAAATCGGCAGAATTAAAGGGTGTGCTAACTAAACGGAAATCACACTCGTAAATTCCAAAATCCAAATCTTCGCAACCGTAAGGTCCATCAGATATCACAGCATCAAATAATGCTACAATCATTATACACAGAAGTTTAAACTTCGTGTTTCGAAAGTTTGATTGTAACATCGTAAAGCTATAACTGTTCTGGTTCAGTAAACGTTCGTTTTAGTCCGAATCATTGTAAACCCTGACTGTGGGTCGTGGTGGTTTCCTAAGACCCACGTAGGCCATTTTGTTTCTGAAAGTCTATCTAAATGTTAGCTAAGTGTGGTCTTCGTTCCCAAACTTATTGAGAGAAAAGTGGCCCTAAATGTAAATGACTGCAAGTGATTGGCCATCGTATGGTCACGTGTAACCCCAACACCGTATGTAAAATTTAATATCATCGACAAAGATCACAAAGAAAAATATAGGGAAACAATTGTATTTGATCTCTACATCTTAAACAATATTGACGATTTTGCATATAAATCCAATCCATTCAAATCTATTGTTAGAGAGCTCAACATTTTCTATAAGTAGTTTAGATTAATCATGGCTAATCCACAGTCCATAAAAAGGAGAAGTTAATACATTGCCCAATAGCGATTTATGTCAGAATCATAACAATGGGGACTATGTTACAAGATGACCTTGGCAAACAGAATTAGAAACTAAAAGAGAAAATCGTATGATGTTTATATCCAGAGGATTTTGTTCAATTTTGATTCGATTGGTTTGATTCGCACTTAACTCGGACATTGAGTTATAAAAGTTTATACACAGTACTGTTGCTCATCAGCCAAAATCAAATGCTCATATCAGCCAAAATAAGTACAGTTTTCAATTGTAACTTTACCATATTTTTATTCGTCTGGAAGAATCCAAAAATCAAGACCGTTTATAAAGTACTAATCTAGTATCCTGAGAAGTTTATTCTAGGAAATGTTACTTGGTCTGAAGAATATGATATTTTACTTTTGAAACATTTACAAACCTAGAATGGAGACCAGGGTGTTGTAATTGCAAAATTGTTGACATTATGGTTCCTGATAAGTCTGTGAATGCCTTTTTGAAAATACACCATTCAATAAAATTTCAGAATATATTGAAATCTTTAGAATCAATGGTAAATTGACAATATTCAAAAAATATGAGCAAAGGTTTACAACATAGTAGAAATGCAAACAATGTATTTTATCGTAGTTTTATCACGTGTATGCTATACACGAGTACAATGGACAGTGATATAGGGGGGTGTGATTAGGAACCCGATGCGCGACTTAATAACACGTGAACTTTTATATTCCTGTTTCCATAATTATTGTCAAAGGAACAAGAACGTCGTCAGTATTCAAAATAGATTTCGAATGATTAAAAGTATAGAGTATAGGAGAGGGCAGCAAGTTCAAATTGGATAACATCAGGTGTGGATTCTAGTTCTGATATCAAGACATTTTATAATTTAGTACAATCCATTCCAAAACAAATCCAATAAATCTCTTCAGAACTCGGAAACAAGGCATTAACATGACAAATTATCACCACCTAGTTGCTCACAATATTATTAGTTCAATCAAAAGTCAGTTTTGAATTTCTGAGAACCTAGATGATTTTGAAAAAAGGGTCAATTTGAAGCAAATTGAAAAAAGACCTTTTTGACCTTAAGAAGGTCATTGAAAATCAAATCTTTTTTGACCCACGGAATATCACTGAAAGTCAAATCTATAATCAGATTTTAACTTTTGAGAACTTGTAGATGATTTTGAAAAAATGGTCAATTTGAAGCAAGTTGAAAAAATACCTTTTTGTTAACCTTTGTTAACCTTTTTTGACCTTGGAAGGGTCATTGAAGGTCATATTTTAAATATAAAGTCAGATTTGAACTTCGGAAAACTTGTAGACGATTTTGAAGAAAATTGAAGTCAGTCTAAACAGTATTTGTTAAGTTATTAAAAGTTTTAAGAATTTGTTACAGACACCAACCACCAGCTGCCGATCGCCAAACGCCAATCGCCGCCACAAAAACTGAGACCATGACAATATGAGACCATGACAATATGTCACCACCTTTTGGTGGTGACATAACAAATCAAAACACGATACATATAGTTAGTATTCAATTTGAGAAAATGGTGGTTCCAATGTCATTATTATAAAAGGAAATTATTTTAATCAAAAAGACTTTACACATTATAATTACTATTTCCTATTTTTTGATTGGAATTTCAATTCAATGTAATTGTAACAAGTGTTTATAGGTGATAGGGATGGACTCAAAAAATTTGGAATGAATATGCATAGTAGAGAATATGGGACGAGTTTTAAAACACCAATTCATACATAGCTGGGCAAGGTGTGTTCGATTCCAGCCAATCCGAACACAGTTTAACTGCAGTACATTTTATCACCAATCACTGCATCCAAAGTCGCTTGTTAAACAGACAGCTTGACTCTTCAGATTGAAATTGATACTTTGCCAACTTGACCCTTGCAAAAGGTTTAATTGAAAATATAATATTTTAGTAATTTTGCATCTTTTAGATGATTTCGTAGAAAATATTTTGCAATATGGGAAAAGAATTTAAGCCCGAGACTTAATGCATTGTGGCTTCATTCCACTCAGGCATTGTTTCCTTAACCTCAAGATATGGAAACAACACCTTCGATGGAATGATTCACAACATAATGCACGAAATCCAGGACTGAAATCCTTAAATGAAGTTGCAGTAAAACCTGTTAAGGTGGAACAGCTTTGGCACCACAGGATAGAGTTCCTATTAGGCAGTGTTCCACTTACAGAGTTCAGTTAAGATAATGGGTACATGACTTGGAAATGTGCTCCACTTATGGTATAGGCATTTTCCAATCAGAGAATGATGTTCTACTCTACATATGTTACTGTATTTTACTTTCAATTGTGCTTTCGAATATGCAAATTGTCACTAGACCACATCAATGATGCAATTTGAAACACAGTAGAACCTCTACAGTAGAACACATAAAACGTTGGTTTTACATGGTAACAAAATTAAAATCTATATAATTATCTAAGATAAACCAGCCTGTTTTGGATCACCCTGTAGTGTATATCGTTGGAAACAAAATAATAAAATACATATTCTATAAAAGTTTAATTTATTGTGACTGTTGATAGATCTGTTCTTTTCTTATTAACAAAATTGTTTACATCTCATTTACATAAGTTAATTATCGGTGCTATGGTAACAGGTCAATCAAAAGGTAGGCTCTATGCACATCTCAAATGTCCAAACCAACTGTCCAAAGCAGATATTGGGATTTGAGTATCTGAATATGACATACTACTGCCATGATTGCAATATACCATTAAACTGCTAATACATGTTTCATAGTATGAACCCTTTTACATAATTTTACTCAATGCTAATGCAGCTGCTGTAAATCTCCTGTGTTACATCAATGTAGATGTCATGATGTAATAATGATGTTCAGTGATAATTAACAACCAATATCAAAGTCTTCAATTGACACTGTGTCCCTTCCTTACAAAAGAATTCTTAATTACTTGTACAGTGATCAATTTGCTTCTGACCTGATCAGCACCAGTACCAGTAATGATATTTTTAGTCAATTAAAGTGCATTTGATATAATAAATAGTTGCAATAAAACTAAATTGTGTACAAAATAAATAGTCTAAAAGATTCACTGGTCAGTATCAGAAGAGCCACTACCATCTCTTTTAAAATATTGGACAGTAAATGTAAATTTCAATATTTCCAGTTTTCATTCAATGAATTTGACTATGGACATTTGGCTCTCGTATTTCAACCACATCTTACTATAAATTCCACAATATGCTAAATGGAACCCACATCACATGTAGACACAGCGATCCAACAATAACAAAGCAGTAAAACATACATCATTGGATTGTGGCATCCACATATGATATAGAACATATTTATCAGATTGTGGAGTTTCTATGTCAAACGGGAAATTTCAATTCCGAATGTCCATGACAAAGTGGTACAATTTACTAAAAAACTGAAATATCGATGTCAACATTTACCATCCACCATTTTGAAAGAGAAGGCAACAGTCGTTACCTTCTACCTGATACTGACCAATGAGACTGATCAAGCTCACAAATCTAATACTGTGATAAATCTGGCATTATCATTTTCAACTAACATTTTCTATTTTAAAAAATATTCAGGATTTCTCAAAATCCAATCTACATGTGAATGAGTGAATGAAGAATCATCCAATGGCTACCATAGCCCCTATTCAGTTCGTTATTCATAATGAAAATATTATAAACCATTTTATTACATTTAGTAAGTCATCTATAAAAGAGTATAATTAGAAATATAAATTCTGGTGGTACATTTTGGTGACCATATGCTTTATTTACTATTGAAACAAGACAATGTATAAACTAAGAAATATTTAAATGCTTGTATTATTTCAACTACATGTATTCTGATAGTTTCAACCATCTCTCAAACATATTCACAGAATGGCCAATTTCAATATTTTGCAGAAAAAAACATATGGGATCTACTTTTGAAACAGTTGACGAGAAAAGCTTATTTAAGCATTTCATTGTAGAAAATAAGCTCACAGTTCCCTGTTTGCGCCTGTTCCGCCATTTCAAACATTTCAATCAATTCACCTTAATAATCTCTTGTTTCATTTTGATTTCAGGCAATTTGACCATTTCATTCATATCTCAAGCATTCAGCCTGTAAGTGTAAACAATCAAAGTATAATTTCAACAATGATCAAGAAAAATTGAGCACTGAGCTAGTCGAGTGTTTTAGAAGTATGAAAAAATAAAACAAAAACAAGACACCAATCTGGTTTGTCCTCGTTGTTTTGTCCTCTCAATTTCAATCAAGCATCATCTATATATCAAAATACATATGCAATGTTGAAACCTCAGGATTTCGTTTCATTTCCCATGCAAAACTTCAATTACTTTCCTTGTGTCAATGTTCTGTAATTTGAAGATTAAGGTTAATCGAAATATGCCAGTTAACATTGTAATTCTTGAGTACACCAGTAAGCTACTGTTTTCCTCTCAGCAAAGTAGCCCTATTTTCAAATATGGTACAAATACAATGGTTCAGATCTACAGCTCTTCATAGAGTCTCTTCTTAATTCTGCTATATTTTGCTGACTTACAGGGTGTCTCCTACAAGTCTATTTTTTTATCTACAGGGTGTCAATTAAGTCTACTCCATATTGTGCTTCCTTTTGTTTATCTACTGGGTGTCTATAAAATACAGGTTCAGCTACTTTTTTGAATAAGGCCATATCAGCTCATTTGAATTTTGCTACCTCTTGTTGCCTTTGGAGTCTTGAGGTTTTGTTGGAGCAGGGAGATATAAAGGAGTAACATCAGCAGGTTTGTACTTTCTGAAAACAGAAATTCTTGTAGCATTAGGTAGGATGAGTAGAGTGAATAAAGAATTACATTGTATAATGCATAGTGAGATCAAGTACAAAATAAATCAAACTAGAAGTTCCTTTAAACATGAACAAATTCAAAATCAGCGATCTTCTTATTCTGTATAAAATGCGGTAGGGCATATGTTTCACCATGGTGCTGCAACATTATCTTCACACAATATATGAATACACGCATATTTCCCTTCGTTAATAGCAAATCTAACACTGGCATAACTTTTACATTTATGCCTAAAATATCATAAATATGTTACATATTTTAGATTCTAATGATAGACATTAACATGCAAAATGTCACAACCTGCCATTTGTTACAGATGCCTAACACCAACTCAAAACACTAACCACTGACCACAATCACAAAGTTGGGGACTATAACAATATGTCAACACTTGTGATGGTGACATAATAATTAAACTGTAAGTGGATAATAACATAGGTCTAATAATGTGTCTCCTGGATTCTCTGAGTACAGGAATTATCACTCTATTAAGTGGATGTATGGTATTCTTACAATACTATTCTATATCTACGCAGTTGAAACATAACAATTGCATATGAATATACAAACTTACGCATATGGTGAGATAGGCACTGAGACAATATACAGAGGGTTCCCTTTCATATACAGCCGCCACATGCCCTTATGGAATCCTCTAACATCAAGGTCCCATAGCTTGAAGCACTGCAAAAATACGTAAAAATGATGAATAAAAGCTGTATTAAGAATCTGATCTGCTGAAAATCACAGACTCTAGAGAACATAATGCCCAGATTACAATCCTGAAACATTCTGATTTTAGTAAAACAAGATTTCAATCAAAAATTGGCATTTTTATCAAATTAATATTGATAAATGTGTACAGGAGAAACACTGACATACAGGAACAAAATAGGACTACCGGCATTTGAGTTATCACCAAATCTTATAGGGTTTCAATGGGCTCTCTTGATAGCCCTTGCCCAGACAAACAGATGTACAGAAGCATGAATTAAGTGATGGAAACATTCTCTATATCGCTTGAACTATTCCAACCTTTGAAATGGTGACCACTTTGAATAACTGTTGCACAAAACCAGAATACATCTTGCCACTTCATTTGGGGAAAATCAGCCCACATTTTTGCACAGAAAATAGATAAATGGTTTGATAGACTGGTGGGTGGGAGGTTCAACTATATATCTATTGTATTTGTATCTATTGTAAGTGCACTGGGACTATAACACAACACACATGTATCTTACGTACCTTGGCAAGTTGCTTCCAATTATCATCATTCATTGAATTCATTTTTATATACATAACATATGTGACATCCTGGAATAACATGAAAAACATATTTACAGGGTGGGTTAAAAAAGTTGAACATTTTATATTAGGACTATCTTCAATTCTTCATGATTCCAGAAGTATTGTGCATGCATGATATAACATTTGACAGATAATTAAACTGCCAGGGAATGGTGAATAGAATTGCATTGTTAAGCAAATAAGACCAATAAAAAGATGCAAATGTAGACAACTTAAAAATCAGAGTGACATTTCAAAACAACCCAGTTGTTTATTAGGGCTATGTTAGACTAGATAACAATGCCAAGCCTTAGCTAGTTTCAACAAATTTGCTTCACTACTTTTCCAGGTGCAAAATTACACACATAAAAATGGTGGTCATTTTTCTCCACTGTATATCTCCAAACTTAGTTTGATAGGCTAATGATAAAGTGCTTAGACAATCAGATTAATTCAAATGGCAGGCATTATATATAATTCTTAAAAATTGAATTAGTTTTCCAGGTGCATCGTCAATTCATAGTTCTGCTAATATTTTGAAAAAAGCCTCAACATGTAACTAACTACTTTTCCATTCTGTACATAAGAAAGCAGCTGTTATCTAAAGCTAAGATAATGACTAACCTCCCACAGATGAAAAATTAAAAGACTAAATTAGAAGACTTGGTGAAAAACAAAACCATGTTGCAGGTGTTGTAGTTTGCGCTAATAAACATCACAAGACATTTATGACGTCACTCTCTTGACAATGTGGCTTTATACATGTATGAACAAAAATTAACTTTTGGTCTGATGTCCAATCATATCAAAATGAAATTGCCAATTTACAAACTAGTCCAGAAGTGTTTTAATGAATAGTATGCCGATCAATGTGGCTCTTTACCAGATGTAGATAATACATTGAGACTTTTCCAAAGTACAATGTATGTGCTTGGCCTGGATTCACATGCCCTACAGAGTGCAGAAAATAATTGCTATTGCTGAGAGAGGCTCAGCATCTGCCATTTAAATTGAGTAAAATATGGGCAAACCTGATACATAAATATGGGTAAATTTGTCATTTGAATATGGGCTATTCAAATATGTGTATCTGAATCATTAATGCATTATTAAAATCTAGTAAAATCATATAAGTTTATCATAACTTACTGAAGTGTCAGGTATGAAGCTTTCTTCACAAGGAGATTTACTATGGTCCAGTAAGGTGGCCCCAGCTATAGCTGTATTGACTAATTCTTCATAATTATCCTTCTTCAAACTCTCCACATTTTTTAATCGAACATGAGGTAATGTGTTGATTGAATGTTTCTTAAAATAAAGATCTTGGAAGTAAGAGTTCATATTGACTCCTGTGGCACCAAAGTGAAATGTACGAGAAATATCAGGAATGATGCACTCCCGATCTTTGCGGTTTTCGTTCAATCTCATCCACATGTCCCAATCCCAAAGCTACAACAGAAAATTGTCAAATTAAAATAATCCACAATTAATTAAGCAGATGGGAAAAACAAATCGTTTTTTTTATCAATGTTGTTATTCAAGTTGATTTCGCTAAAGATGTGAACAGAGGCTGCTATTTTAATGTTAGACTATACGTAACAAGTAAACACTGATTACTTAAACTCGAAGCGCTTCGACATTATCTCGAGAAGTAACAGATTTTACAAAATATACTCCTACTTTTTCAGCAGTTGGCCAGTTTGGTTCTAGCTCATCTTTGTAGAGACTTCTTTTGAGCACCCATCCTAGGCCAGGCATAGTTTCCACTCTATATAACTGAGATGCATCTTTGCAGGAGTGCTCATATCCCTAGAAACAAACAAAACATTTAAAGCAATACTGTAATGCTAGGGTCTATGTTATATTTAGAGATTTAAAAAAGTTCTTATATCAAGGTGACAGATCTACTAATGTTTAACAAAATATGTGAAAATTACAAAGATTGACCTTATAGTTCTTTCTAAAAAAAATTTTCAATTTAACATTCCTCTCAATGGGAATTTTTTTTTAAATTTTCTATGAGAATACAAAAGTGTTCAAAATTATATATTTGAAAATTCACCGTCCAGATCTTAAGAAAAAAACTTTGAATATTATGAATCAGTGGAATCAAAAATGAATCAAAAATCTCGGGGTGTAAAAACTTTAAAATCCTGGCGCATGAATCGATTGCGCCATGCGGCATTTGAACGTCCAGGGGACATTTTTCAAATTAACAAATATCGATGTTTTATTCAGTTTTCGTTTTTGGTATTAGGGATGAGCAAATTGACTGCACAATAGACACCGAACTTCTACATTAAATGAGCGTAATAGACCAAAATAAAACATTCTAATACAAACGTGGAGCTAAAAATAACATTTATTTCGTGAGTTTCATGACTTTCATAAGTATCCATCCAAATATGGGTATATAATTACAACTTAATAATATACTACTGTTGCACATCAGATTAGATACAATCTATTGATGATTGCAAGTTTCAGAGATATGTTATAACAAGTGTAAATGATACTGTTCATTTAATAAACTGAGGAGTGACTCCAACACATGGCAATTAGTAATTAAATATGACCAATCTGGGGTAAACATGTTCTCAGGCATTGGCTATTTTTTATCAACATATTTTATTGCAATTAATTGATTAAGTAAAGATCATACAGGAGGGACCCAATCACCTGTGGCATTAGACTTGTAGGTGTTTATCCCAATATAGAATTTACAGTTTCATAAACATGGCATACAATAGTGTTGTTAATAAATCTATAAAGGGATTGTGTCTGCATTTTAATTAGAGTGTGGGAGTGTTCAGTCTATGTTAACTGTATACAGTTATTGAACAATAAATCCAAAGTTTGACAGTCAAAATTATCTCCAAACATTGTAAAGGGACATTTTTGGTGAATTTGTCCAATCCTAGGAATTGGCGAAAAAACATTTATCCCAGAATTAAATGTATCATTTACTACTTTTTGGATTTAACTTACTCAACTGATTCTTTGGATAACATAAATTCCAGTCCTTTGATCTTGCAATATAAATGCAATAGATCTGGAGAAAAACACACATCACATATCCTATTTACCTGGTCATTCCAAGCTGAGATGCAATACAATGACTCATCCTCAGCTAACAAGGGGAGGGTCTGACTAAAATAACTGAAACAAACAAGTGAATCTTTTTAATTAATTCAATGTACAGTTTTATTTAATGTTTATTAAAATTGTTTAACGTGAATTATATGTTACACCTATAATTATTATAATAAAAAAGTGTATGAGATGGTCTGAATGTCAATTATCCTTGTATTATATAAGTAAAACGAGATAACAACTCCTACTCAGGAATGCCCACTAGTATCAGCTTTCAGCACAGAATGTTCTAATATGCTTATTGTTTTCCTTTGACCCTGAAAGGGAGCCACAGACTTGAACAGATAGGTTTTTAATCTACAGTGAACAATCAACCTACCTGAATATATCTGGAGAAACATCTAAGTCCTCTTCTAATATAATTGCATATTTGGCATCCTGTAAATAATGGGTAAGTTGAATAAAATGCATATGTAAAATCAATTTCATTAAAGGATTTAAGCCAAGGACTCGATGAATTGTTGATTACTGAAACAAAGTATGTCTTGTTTCCAGAATTTGAATGAGTGCAGCAGCACAAATTCAAAGTCTATGAGACAAGATATATGAGTGGATTAAATCATCAATAATTCATTGAATCATGTGCTCAAATTCTTTTTACACATTGCAAAAGATTTTGTACAGTATATTTTGAATATTTTGCAGATCACAATTTGATTAATGAATATTTTTCTAAGTGATGATTTGTAGAGTGATCCTCTGGGTCAATCATCCCTTTTAGTAGTGTTTTTGATACCATTTGACTGTTTCTAAAAACTTTGTTTGAGAATTGTGAAATAACTTACTGGGTATAAATTAAATGTTGCAGTAAGACTTGCTTTATAATGCTGAGATATCCTGGCATTCTTGATGCCTATGGGTGTGTGTTGTATGCCCCTTATACCAAACAATTTAGCAACTTCGAGTGGAATCTAAAACAAACAATACAAAATAAATTTAAAGGTCACATTTTATACACAGCATTACAATGCTCAGTTGAACTCTAAATAACCTGAACTTGAAAAAACAGGCAAGAACATTTTAATTATGAGGCAGTTTTAGAGAAGTATGGGTCATCTCAACCCCAAGTCATCTCAACCCAGTCCAACTCAACCCCAAGTCAACTCAAACCCAAGTCAAGTCAACCCCAGTAAAACTCAACCCTAAGTCAACTCAACCCTGTAAAACTCAACCCCAGTAAAACTCAACCCTATTCATTTGTGCAATGTCTAATTTAATTATTTTATGATGAATAATTTAAGTCATTCATTTCTGAAAATCTAGCATTTTGCATGATACTTAGAAAGTTGTAAAAGTATTCCAAAAAAACGGTTAAGCTCAAGGATAATTCATCAAGTTGTCACTATTATTTAATTTAAGACATCTTTTGAAATCAAATTTTAGATAATTTAGAAATAATTAACAATGTAATATAACTTTTTTTTATTTATATGATAATTTAGAAATAATTAACAATGTAATATAACTTTTTATTTATATGAACATGCATTAACAAAATCATTAACATTTACTAATTAATAGACTGAAAGCATATAGGCGTAGTCAGGAAGGTGCATCATTTTTTGTCAAAACATATCTTTTTTGGCTAGAAAATGCCACGATCGGCACCCCTGACTGAAAACCTGATTTTTTTAGGCGATCGCATCCCTCCTGACTGAAAGCTGGCTATGCCCCTGGAAAGTGACCCATATTTTAATCCTATTAGTACCATGTTGAGATTTTGGAGATACACTCATTATTAACTTTAATCTAAAAAGTCAGTGGTCTAAGAATGAAAATCACAAACTGAATAATCAAAATTATTTTTATGAAATAAACTTTCTTATAAGTTTATCAATTATAGAAATATAGGGGTTGAGTTTTACTGGGGTTGAGTTTTACAGGGTTGATTTGACTTAGGTTTGAGTTTTACTGGGGTTGACTTGACTTGGGGTTGAGTTGACTTGGGGTTGAGTTGGACTGGGTTGAGTTGACTTGGGGTTGAGATGACCAGGAAGCATATAAATATACTGCCTCCTCCTTCCAATTCCCACTAGTTTTATATGAATACATTTGATACACAATATAGCCTCACACTATGTGGTGGGGAGATAAAAATTTCTGATTGATGCTGCAAAATGTTTTAAAAGATTACACACCTCAAAGTATCCATCTATGTAGACAGTAATCATGCTTGGATTCACACCATGGGCAGATAGCAAGCTTCGCAACATTCTAAAATAAGATTACATATAGTTTGGCTGTATTTGATTCATGGACTCAATACTGAACTCTTGCTAGGGCAAAAACTAATGTAAAACTGACAAAAACTCTATAATTTGTTGCATATATCATCCAACTTAATTATTCCAATATCTTTTCAATTTCAACTAGAAAAAACAGCAACTCCACGGAGTAGCAAATCCCACCAAACAAAACATATTATGCTTATTATAGCTAGTGTAAATGTTGAAATGTTTGTGCACTTTGTGATAGAAGCATGAAATTTGGCACAAAGTTAGTTTATACCATTGTGAACTAGGCATCATCATATAAAATTTGAACCAAATCCGTTCACTGGTATATGAGTTATCAAAGATTACGTTTTTTACGAAAATTGGCCGCCATCTTGAAATTCAGCCGCCATCTTGAAAAACTTTTGTCGAACATAGCAACTGTGTCCCTAAGCATCATCATATAAAATTTGAACCAAATCCGTTCACTGGTATTTGAGTTATCAAAGATTACATATTTTTACGAAAAATGGCCGCCATTTTGAAATTAAGTGGCCATCTTGAAAATCTCTTTTTGTGCGAACTCCTTTGTCCCTCGGCCTCAGCATATAAAATTTGAACCAAATCCGTCAACTTGTATTTGAGTTATCAACGATCACATTTTTTACGAAAAATGGCAGCCATTTTGAATTGAGCGGCCATATTGAAAATTCCTTCTCGAGCTGAGGTCCTATACTCATAAGGCATAAGACTATAAAATTTGAACCATATCCATCAACCGGTATTGGAGTTAACGCCCGGACACACGGATGGACGGACGGACAGACGAACGGACGGCTTCTCTTATCCCCCTTGAACTTTGTTCGGTGGGATAATTATTTAATGATTACCAGTATTTAAATACATGTACAAACAGTATATGAGAGAGCCATTTGTAAAAATATCTAACCTGTATAAATAATGTGGACGGTCACTTGCTATAACTGCAACAGGCACATCATGCACTCTATTGTCTGCCAGCTAGAAGAAATATGTCATTGTTATAACATACCAGATATCTGTATGTAGTTATTCTAAGGACTCGTAGAAGTAAAATGAGCTAATAAAGATGTCATTCTTTATATTACGCGCTAGGTATATGTATTAAGTTATCATCATATATCCCTATGTAGTTAGTTCTAAGCAATAGTAAAATAAAGATGTCATCACCATGTAAGGAGGAACTTTACAAATTACCATTGTGCAATATTATGAGGAAAAACACATTTATGAGTCCTGTGGTCCTTTTTAGGTTTGGTCGACCTTGCAGTAGAGTTGGGGTAGATTGGTACTTTATTTATACAAAGGCAGGTAGAGAGGATGGAAACCTTTTTAATACTGAGGCAAGTAGGGATAACTGATACTTACTGGAGCAGGGAAGAACTCAAGAGGAGCAGGGTCTTTACAGCTGCATACACTGCCATAACCTTCTATCTTACTGCAGAATGCACGTCTCCTCTCATTAACATCGGATTGTGGCCAGTCACACTCAGTCTCTGCAAAAGTGTATGAATACATGTGTGAGATCAATCTGAAGTGATCAACAACAAAGAGTCTTTACAAAAATGGAACTGAGAAAGTGTTCACATTTTGAGGTTGACATTATAAAGAGGCATTCACAAACACAGGAATTACAGTATAACTGTATCTAATATTACATGCAAACAAACCAGATATATACATAGGATAAAAAATTATTATTTTCACAAAGATAACAATACATTAAGTTAAATGTCATAACTGCTATTTGTTACAGACACAAACCACCAAACACTGAATATTAAACACCAACCACCAAACACCATGTGGTGGTGACATAAAAATTATTAACTTTCTCTCCAAATCATTCCTAATATATTATATATCTTTTGAAAAAATGATACACCCACTGGAAAAGTGCTTGATTATTCTGGTTTAAGATAAAATAAACAGAATGTTTGTTTACCTTCAACTGGCCTGAGAGGTATGTCAGCCTTGAGCAATATTGGTGAACCCCAGCTCTGCAAATCTGCAGATTTACTATGGGACTCCCCCAGTTTAGCACCTAAAGCACAAAATAAGCAAGTCACTAATGGAACCAAGGTAGTAATCAAAGGCAATAAATATTCTATACTACCCGAAACATAAGTACTGCATCATGTGCAAATAACAAATCTCAAGATTTTCATTCCACAAACACAGGGCTCAGGACATCATCCACCCTTAGCTACTGTGTAAGGAAAAGAATGGATGACATCTGGAGTCCTGCATTCAGAGGCTGAAGATCTACAGGGTGATCTAGAAGTAACATCAAAGGTGTTGCCATTTCATTACCGCTGGATCAATCTTCTTGAAACTTGGTACAAATGTTTCCCAAGGAGTATTGATTTAATACCTCAAGAATAAAGCTTCTACTATATAATTGGTTTATTTCATGGTTACTATGGTAACTTGATGTGATGTCACCCATGGTTCACATGATGATAAATACTTGACATACCTCCTTTTATGGTGACCATGGCCCACATGTCACGCCATCCAATCACCTGGGCCTTATCACTCCCCAGAGATTTCAGCAACTCTCTGGCAGTGGTCTTCATCTGGAAGGACCCTTCATCCTGGAAAAATAATAAGCAGTTTTTTAGTTTAGAAGGCTAAACTTTGATATATTGATATTTGGGTCACCTATGTATATTGACCAGATGATTTATCAATTGATTTGATACATTTTTCAAGAATTGAATGATTTTTGCCGCAAAACATGAGACAAAATTAGAAATGTGTTAAAAGTGTTAAAAGAAAAAATGAACTGCTGAAAATGAATGTACAAATGCAAATAAATAAATGTGGAAATAAATAATCATTCCTTAATACATAAACAGACAACCGATGTTTTAGTCTTGGACCTTTAAAATTTGTGTTTTTCACCCTGACCCCTAAAAGAAATATTGGCACCAGGAAAAAGTATTCAAATGTATAGGTTTCACTGTATGTGGTACGTTAGGTTAGAGCTTGTAGAGCTGTTAGTGCTAGTAGTGCTACACCCTTTATCTATTTTATCAGGTTTGGTGGTTTAAAATGACATATTTTTATAGTGTAAAATATCTTATGACTAAAATGTTATGAACAACATCAAAAAATACTTGCCTCTGACGTCTTTGGATTGAAAAACAATGTCAACACAAACAATGTTACAATTTTAAGAAATATCTCATCCTTTTCAAATACTTGTTAGTTTTACATTCATAATGAGTGTCCAATTCTCTGGAATTTTATGATACAACTAAAATATAAAATTATCGAATAAAAATGAAAATTTCCTTCAGATGAAAAAAAACTGAACTTCTATGTACCTTGACAGTGAATATAATTATTCTCCCGTCTGATACCATCTTCAAAAAGAGAACCATAGCCTCATCTTCATGTGCCGAGTATGTGTCAAACAAACGTTTGGCCATGACGCTTCCTGTGCCTTGGTGAAGTACCAGGATGTGGATTCCACGATTCTTTTCAACTTCATCATCTTCAAGAATCTAAAAATCAAACTTATAAATTAGTTTATTATTTCTTTGACATTTTTCAACAGTTTACAGGTTTTTGTTTCACCACCAATAAGTGATTTCATATTAATCAGAGTTTAGGACGTGTAACAAATCTTTTGTAACTTTTTTTATAACTTTTGATCATCATTTGAAGTTTAATCAATTCTAACATACAACATTTTTTCTCCAATGCTTTGACAGATAACACATCATCCTCCGATCACAGGGCTTCAAAATCCAGAATATATTCTTTCTTTTTACCTCCTGCGATAAGCAGTTAGCATTTCCCCGATTAAGAACTCGCAATCTGATTGGCTGTTGCAACACTGCGACAGAAATCATGTATAAATCATTGCGCATAATTAGATCAGGTGATTCAGTTTAATCGGGCGCTTCCAAATTGGTTATAGCAGGGGGAAGAAGGAGGTACGGATTCTGGATACCTGCTTAGGAGAATGATAACACATGGACATGATGCATATTACTGTGAATTTCATTTGTCAAATCATGTTTTCACATGTTAACACAATCGTGTAGCTGACACACAACATTACCAAAGAAGAAGCGTGCACCTGACATCGTACTTTGACATAGGTACATGTATTTGACATACCATTGTACCATCTACTCCAACTGACACTTTATTTCTGCTTGATACTACTTCAACTGCAAGTGTCTTTGGCTTTTCTAGAATTCTCCTTGGCCCTTGGTTCAAATTCTCCATTCCTTCTGGCATCTCATGCTGAATATCTGCAAGCAATAGGAAATGTGATATTGATATTTATATCTTGGAGTTTGCATTACATGTTGACAAATTTGAATTAAGATTCAAGGCATCATTGGTTATGACATTTTTTTGAATAAGTTCATCATATCTTATGCACGCACTGATTTCAGTACCTCAGGCATATATTTTAAGATGTTTATAGACTCACAAGTGCTCTAATGTGAGCATTGAGCATTGCTGAGCATTGCTTACATAAACACTATTAATTTGTTACAATTAATATCATGGGACATTCACAGCTTATTAACATGATATTCTAGCTGTCAAGATTTTTGCTCACCCTGAATTTATCAATACAATTGAGTAATAAACACACAATAAAAAGGCTTTTTAACTCTACTAAACATACAATAATGATACCAGAGAATTATTGAAAACACAATCTACATGATTTGTCTGTCATTCTTACCAAGATATATTACTGCCTGATTTTTATCATTTGATGAGACATGGTGTACAATTATCCTAAATGTCTTGTGGGAGAATTGGAACATTCTTTATTTGAAAACATTTTGGAGTAGTATGTAAAAATAGGTTGTGATTTCTATTCCTGAATTCCATTCATTAAATTCAATCCTGAGGAAGTAGAACATCTTTAGTGCCTCACATTATGAGGGAGATGTTCAACATACATTTAGTACATTAAGTTATGAAAATAGGGCTTTGAAAAGTGTTCCACTTGGGACATGTTCCACTTCAAGAAGTGTTCACCTTTACAGGTTTGACTACCAACTATTACAAAATGAAGCTACTGAGCTAGTGAACAATTCTGTTTCTATAATGAATTATTACTTTCACTGATAGGACCATTATAGTCAAGTGAAGCAGTAGAGAAAATTGAACATTTTTGTGTTTAGTTACAGTTTCAATAATATAGCAATCAATCCTCAGTCTAATTGTTCCTTTATTTATCATCCGAAAATATGTCACTATTGATTGCTAAGGAGCATTTAAAGCCTTGCATTTCCTGATAGACCTAAGTTCTCTATTATTCTATAGATCCTTTATATAAGTGATCCTTTATTCACATTTCAAAGTCCCTCTTTATCAAATGAGATAGCAAGGGCTGTGGTTAATACCACATTGATCATTGTATAATACCCTTTACTTCAGATATATGCAACATACATATAGCATTAGGAGGAGCTACAAGGAGGCAATTCCTGTTGTAAAAGTGATATTCAAATAGGAAATCCTTGCAAGATATCTTCTCTCACTTTTCCTGAATACTAGTATATTCAGTTTTACAAAAAGTCTTCTTCATATAAAGGTAAATCTAGAAAGGCATTAGTATGTCAATTTAAAAGAGCCTTAATGTGGAGAATAAATCATTTCACTCACAACAATACATGTTCATGTATCAGATGCGCATAATGTGCATATATGATGTACATAATTTCAATCAGACTTCTAAACAAAATGTAAGACATTTTTAATGTTTTATTACACAGAAATTCTGAGTGATTGATGTTAAGTGTTTCAGACAAAGTATCTAGTAATCCCATTTGAATGACAATGTCTTAAGCTTGTCTTTAACTAATCCATTTCACTGGGCCCCAAATATTCATCTTACAAGAACATAAATGCATGTACCGTACATCATATTTCCAAAAGAATTTCAAAATTCTTTGTCCACAAGTCATTAACATGCAAAATGTCACCACCTGAACACCAACAGCTAACCGTCGCCATAAAGGTGGGAGACTATGATCTGTAACCAGTTGTGGTGGTGACATTAAAAATGAGCTTAATATTGACACAGGAGGTTCTTTCGATATTTCCCAATTTCCTACCAGAATAGAAGTTAAAATAGAGAAAAAATGAGAGAATGGTGATCAAATACTCTGAGTTTCAGAGACTTGTATAGTAGTTCAAGATCTATTAAATAGGCAAAATCAAACTTTTAAAAATGGTATTGATCAGCTTGATCTCTGGGAGTTTATTAAATGCATCTTAGAGAATAAGAGAAATAATTCATTTTATTAAACCCTTCACATCCTTATTGCATTATACAATACAATACAAGATAAAAGGGGGTGGGGTTCTCATATAATACACCCCAAAGTGACATTGACATTGGTTTTGAATCATTTACAATTGTCCAATAAGTGAAAACATAAGCACAATTGATATTAATGCAAAAAATGCATGTTCAATCTCATTGATTACCACACAGGTTAGGATATCCCTATATTTCATAATAAATATGTCACTTTTTTGAGGCCCCTACAAAAAAACAGTACTCTGGTCTGATTTTCTCAGATTGAAAGGCTCAGGGATGCTTTGCCATTTTTAGATTATTGTCTAGCCATTGGAAGGTGACCGTCAAAGTAATCAATCAGGCTGTCAAATTTAGTGTGATTTTATTGACTGATGTCTCCTAGTGAGCCATTTCTATTATCCAGAGACTTTTGCTTTATCACCAACAATATATCTAAATCCAAGGAAAATCCCTCGGTGCCATTTTTAGACATTGATCCAGAATATTATGGAGGTTATTTCGATATTTCTCCACAGCTGGTCAGGTTTTATCGATGTCCCGCAATGAACAGTACTCTATATTATATTTTAGGACAATCATCAATCCGGGTGATAATTAGGAAGCTAATAGGTGCTATAAGCTGATGTCTGTAGTCTTTATTGAGCAAGGTCTTAATAATTCAAGTCTTATGGACTGATAAACATGCTAAAGGAACAATTAGGGCATCCTATGTGAGAATTATTTATAGCCCAAACACGGTAAAATGAGCAAAATAATTTCAGCGAAAAGATGAATGGTATTCCTGATCAATTTGTCAATGTCCCTTACGCTCATTTAGCGCTTCCTTTACTTCAATATGCTGCTCATTTAGCGCATGATTATTTCACAGAAAAATAGCCATCTCGTCTACTCTGGTTAATTGTTTCATGCTATCAAATTATTAAGAAAAGGGATTTGGAATTTGTGAATGATACGGTTGAACACCAGCCAAGATCCGCCAAATATATGATCAATACTTGCTAATATGGTCTCACTCTACAACATATCCTAGACTCACTATTACTTTATCGAAGATAAGGTTGCGAATTTTCTTACAATATTACCAGGTTGTTAGGTCCAGGAATTAAGTTATGCTAACAGAATTTTGTTGTGTATTATACTGTATAAACATCCAGTTAGGATGTATCAATTTTCTTGGCACAGAATCGAACATTGATTTTCTAAAATTTTCCATCTTCCAATTTAATTCTCAGAAACCCATTGACTCTAGTCAAACTGCTATGGTTACAAATCATTGAAACATTTTCAGCCACAGTTGCAGCCACAATTGTAATGGTTTCATAACAATGGTTGGCAATCATTACAAAAATGGTTAGAACAATGACTGTGCAATGGTTTGAATTTGGATTTTCAAGCTTGTTTTTTTATTAGAGACTGACAGTCAACCTCTTGTGACGAACAGTTACCATGGTGTCAGTTCAAGAAAAGATACCAAAATTCAATCTATTACCATGGTTAAATTTTGAAAAATATTGAAAAATATTTGTATTTAGAAATTCTGAACTTGGGAAGTTTTTTGCGAAAACAACATTCAAGATATCGAAACAGAAATGAGCAAAATCAATTGCTTGATAATATAATATAGTGACAAATGACATCTCCTTAAATGCCAGCTCTTAGGAATACAAAAGATTTGTAAATGTAACCTAAATAGGCGATAAATCTAGTAAATTGATCCTTGAGGAAAATAAAAAGAATCCATCTCTACATTACATCGAAGAACAAGACAACCAGAATAGAAGAATTATTCCAGGATCTAATGATCAGGTTGTGAAAAGTATGGAAACCTCTTATGATACAATGAGGAATACCAGCCCTTCCTAGTTACTTAACATGACTATTTATCACACAATAGCTTGAAATCAGACCTTACTCAAGTTCCTGATTAATTAATTCAGGAAAATGACACCAGCTATTATTATGAAGCATTGCATAAATCTTGGTTTAGTTCAATCAATTAATGTCTTAAATACATTCTGATACTTATTACATTTCTCTGGTTTTTACCCAGAAACTATTTAAAGAGCAACTGATAAAAGGCCGTGATATCTCACTATGTGTATGTACAATGAGCAATTTTTCCAACTTAGGGATTAAAACTTAATCTGTTAAGACAAATTGAAGGTCGTTGACTGATTGAGTGTAGTATGTACTCAGAGACAGTATCTTATATATCGAGAATCCTTTGGAATTTTACTTATTAGGGAATCACTTAAAACCATTATCTGCTGTCCAATCCCCATAATTAAATTTCTTCTTCCTAAATACACAAATTTATTGGATTTAAGGAGCTACAGCTGAGATAAATGGTTAGGATCGATGAGACTTTAGACACTTTAACATGGACTAATTGACGCTCATGTTCTATATTAAAAGCCTATAAGTTTGGCCCTCTGAACTTATTTTCATATCAATGTTACGTGTATGGCCAATTTTATTGGAATAAAAATAAAATTTAACTGAAGGGACAACCAAGATGTGTTGTCGAGTTTGAACCTCATGAAATTAGAAAACAGGTTTTATGCCACTAGGTCTCATTAATAGAATACAGTAATTTGATTCCCTTGTAATTTATCAGATTAAGGATCAAAGAAGGTTTGATGAGCAAATGATACAATTTCTGCAAACATTGTATCTAGAAATATTCCATATGAAGAACAGCAGATGAACCAATGATACAGAATAATTGAAGATAGCTCGCAAGTCAAAATGGGTAATAGAACATTTAAAGAGAACAATTCTACAGAGAACAATGCCACATTGCTAAATAAATCAAGGAGAGAAACCAAGATCAAGATAAATAATCTCACTTTTCAGATAAACAGAGACAAGTCACGAAGCTAGAAAACAATCACCAGAGGAAAGATTATATTTCACCAAACTTTTATCTTCTAAAGGTTCATTTTTTCTTATTCCCTGCCCAGGGGAGAGTGTTTGGAGAATGTCGGAAACTATATTAGACCCTGATCATTAAACATCACAATATTTCACCTTACTAGCAATCAACTTTACATGCAACTTTATGAGATGTACAAAGGCCAGGTGTTAACACTACCCAATTTAGTGAAACAGTTTCTAAGAATTGACGCCAAAATGCCATGAAAATGGCGTTTAATGTAGTTTAATGTCGATATTGTCTCACTCTCTGTATCTCCAAGGTATTTCATTCAACCTTGAGTCTTGTTTTTCAATTAAAATATCTGATGATGAGAGGTGTAAGAAGCCAATAGGGAACCTTCTCATTCAATAATTAACAAAATGAGTAATAAGAATCCATGTGTGTTAGTCAAAATGACGATTTCTAAATCCTTCAAGACAATATAAATTGACTATTATTCCATTTTTGTTGAGACTTAAATATAATGCCGAAACCTATCTTCCTAAACTGGGGGTCATTAACAGAAACTTTGTAAAGTTATGAATTTGTAAATCAATTGTTGTAACCATTGATATAATGATGTCACAGTTAGAGAACAGTGGATTTTACGAATTCTTAACTTAACAAAGTTTCTGTTAATGGCCCCCTGGTTAAGTTAACTAGTTTGCATCAAACCTCAAAGTATGTTTAGCACAGTAAATCCTCAACGATAAATATATGCTTATTCAACAATAATTTAGTTTTTGGGTTGGCACAAAACACGGAGGAACGGTTTTGGCTCGAATGGCCAGACTGTTTTCTGTTCACAGGTTTTACTGTAATTCTAAACACACATTACCCTCTTTTGTGATTAAGCATTTGAGTTGCTTCTTACTTACCTGTGCTATAGTCCTTCTGCGGATCTTGTTGGAGTTTCTTGCTTGTGTCCATTATAAACATTATATTGATCATCAATGTCCCCATCAACACTATCACCAGGAACCCCTAAAATAAATTATGATATGGTCACATATTTAACCATTCCTTTCATCAAAGGAGGAGGGAAGTTAGCGCAACAGATTTTGGACAGTCATATGTTGGATTTCGGCCATTTCCTGGGGATTTAAACAGGTGCATATGTTAGGCGAATGTTTTACCTCCAGGAAAATCACTTCTAGAGATGATAAAATAATTTTGACTTTGAGACAGGGTAGTTGCAAACAACCCACCCACATGTTTTTTCTGAGATGTTTTCCTGATTTTCAACCCCTTCCATCCTTTCTTTTTTAATTTTTCTTGCATCAATATGTTGCGTTTTGACACACAGTTGATCCCTTAAAAGGAATAAATGATTCCATTTAGATAAAGTGGAAAACAATATTTCCCATGTTATTTTCCCATAGGAAAAATCATTGCTTTCAGCTAAGTTTGGTCACCCATAATGGGTATCTTTAAAACCCCTGAAGGAATCACTTATTCCTTTAAAGTGGTTAACTATGTGTCAAAATGCAACATATTGATGCAAGAAAAATTAAAAAAGCAGGGATGGAAGGGGTCGAAAAATAGGAAAACATTTCAGAAAAATCATGTGGGTGGGTTGTTTGCATCTAACCTGTCTCAAAGTCGAAATTATTTTATCATCTCTAGAAGTGATTTTCCTGGAGGTAATGCATTGGCCTAACATATGCAATTGTTTAAATCCTCAGAAAATGGCCAAAATCCAACATATGACTGTACAAAATCTGTTGCGCTAATTTCCCTCCTCCTTTGTTAATATATTCTTCATCAGATCAGCTTTATCACTTATATTTATATATACCTATAAAATTATACAAGAATTAATGTATATTATAAATTCTCTTATATATGACCAGTGTAGGTCCTAGGATTTTTGTTTAACTCTCTAATCGGTAAATGATTCGTCTTATCACACTCGCCATTGAAAAATTACATTTGTCACAGTGTTGCGAAAGATTGCTGTTTTCTTGCCAATAAAAATCATTAGAAATAAAGTGATGTGTTTTATGAAGGTACTTTATCTTTGTTGCAATATTTAGCACTTGCAAATTTACAGGAAATGCATAGCATTTAATATTCGCCAGGCAATACATATCATTAAAATGCCCTTCAGCAATTACAAACAAGTATCTGGTTGTAATGAATTGAAACTTTTTTAAACTTTAAACTCTAATTAATTATAAACATAAACAGATTGATAAATACCTGGAATATTTTGGTGATAAATCGTCTGGACCTGATCTGGGAGAAGTGAATCCCTGAGGCATAACCCCCTCCCCCATGGTATCTCCGGGGAACAAATGGTTGAGCGCGGGGATTAGGAATCCAAGAGTCCATTTTACTTATCTGCCATTCTTTCTACCAAGAGTGTTCTTTCTTATGTATTATTTTTCAGAGTTCACCATATCTTCTTCCCAGGGTGTATCTTTGCAGTCTACATTATTATGGCTGGTTTACTAACCGTAGACAAGGAAACCTGGAAATATACAATGAAACATATTTGTAATAGAGATCATCTCATTCATATTACAGTAGAAACATCTGAAACTGAAACAGTACCTTGACAAGTCTTACATAGAGTTTTGTTTTGTCTTCCTGAATCACCTTTGACTTCCAGTCTAGTAGACCTAAAACTGAAAAGATAGATTGTAAAGATGTAGATGGATGGAAAAACAGACTGAAATATTGTACTTTTATCTTGTGATTGGTTGCTCAGACTGTGTTATGTCTTCTAAAAATCTTATTTGGTTATATAACTTGTGATTTTGTAAATGTTTTAATTGACATCTTTTTCTTTTTATTTCTTGGTATTTGATACTAATTAACAATATGCACAACATGTTCAAAAGTAAAATTTCAAAATGGAACAGGTAGATGATACAAATAGGGCATTAACATGAAAAATGTCAACCTCCCATTTGTTACAGATGCTGAATACCAACCACCAGCCGCCAAATACCATCGACAAAAAGTTAGAGGCTATAACAATATGTCACCACTAATGTTCATCAAATTTAATTAATTAAATGTAAATTAATCATATTTATGTTCTACATCCTCTTGTTTCCATTGCCACATCTAATAACACAGATGTGAGTAGGTAGTTACCAGTTTCACCACCAGGTGGCTCGTTCGTGTCAGCTAGCTAGTGATGGCAGGAATAGTAGAAAGTTAACTTAAATTACATTTAATTACATGGTTCAATTTTCAAAATATGTATCTAATAGTTCTGCAAATTAAAATATCTTCAGTAAACGAAAATGTCATCTGTTCAAAACAAGAAAAGATATTTTACTTTTTGTAATTTAGTAATATGGAGTCTATAGGGAATCTCCCCGAACAAGAAGTCACATTTTCAAAAAAAAAGTTTTCAAAGTTGCTAAACAATTTTTCACGTGGATTTCAAATATGACATCACTTTGACTTAATTTTGAATATTTAATGATGTAAATGAAAATTATTTCTACTCTCATCTAGTCTATTGTAGAATGTAAGTAATCATCTGGTCAGCACATGTATCAACAAGTCTAAGTATCACAGCTACTCATTCATGTCCCTATGTTAGAGTGGACATTGGTTCCTGTAGCACTCTAAATGATTAGATTTCGAAACAGATTCAAGCTAAAATCAACCAGCAATTAAGATGGACATTAGTTCTTTGAATTGCTCATTAAGTATTCATTGGATTTTCAAATATATTTTCTAGAAATTTAAAGAAGTATGTTTTTGCAAACAAATATGAAAATACTTATACTAGTAGTCTTAGTGCTTTTGAATTTTTTAAGCTGATCGTATGCCAGTTTGTGTATAAAAACCAGATTCTACATTCTACTTGACATTAAATGGCTTAATGGTCTTTGAAAAAATATAACGGCTGAAAATGAATTAATACTGAAACTTAAATTACAGTAAAACCTGAGTTAGTGAACACATCTCTCTAGTGAACACCTTTTTCCGCAAACTATACACAGGTTTTACTACATATATATACTCCTGAATGTATCTTTATTATAGTAAGAAGTAGTGAGTAAGTAAGAGCAGTCCCCAGGCTAATTTTGAACAAATGCCTCTCAATTCATTGATTGTTTTGTACCAGATCGGGTTATGTCAACTTTTGAAATATTGTATCCTTTGGAGGGAAGTGAGAATACTTATTGAGCCAGCAAACACGTTGTTTTCTTGGATTTCAGATACTATTTGCATGGTCTTTGCAATATTGAGCAATTTGAGATGCAACAGCACTCATTCTGCAGGTCTGTGATTATCGTGAATTATTTGTATCTTTCCTTCCTCTCTTCTCCCTGGCCGAGTCTTTAAAAACAATTTCGACAAAAGTATGTTACTTGGCCCAATTGCAAGCTGAAATATTGATTAGTATATTAAATCTGCTAACATTGATGAACGGTAAAAACTTTATCACAAATTCTTTTTTAGATATTTATGTATAGAATTGCTTAAACTGAAGAAGGACAAGTTGACCTCTAACAGAAATAGAATTTCATGATGTTGTTATCAGTTCCATGATATAGCCAACCGGAAACCTAAATCATAACAATCAACAGCAGTTTTTATATTTAATGCTATATCTGCTTTTAGGGTTATTCACGACTTCCCTTGGAAATGATGTCTTCAGAATTTGTCTTATATTCTTTTGTACATGTATGTGTTAATCAGAGATTTTATTTACAACTGTATACCAACTGCTGTGGTAAGGTTACATCCTTTCTAGTGATTTGATTTAGTAGTAAGTAGTTAGTGGATATGCACCATAATGGTTTCTGTTATGGTATATACAGGTCTTTTATTTAGACAATGGGGGATAGTAATACATTCTTTTGGGTTTACCTGAAAGGATACTGATCTGCATATTGATGTTGTATCATATGACAAGACCTTGAGTGTCCATTCCTCTGACTTGTCAGTATTACATCATACAAAACTCTAGGAATGTAACCTTTAAGTTCTATTTTCTTCATCCCCAAGAGTTTACCGTAATCCAACAATTCTTACGAAGTGGACACAAGATACTAATATATAAAAGTCTAGACAAATTGAAGTTATTTTTTCCCAATACATAAATAGCCTTGAATTTTATTTATATTGCCTTGGGGAATATATGTATTTGATCTTTCTAGAGATTTAGATGAATTTATATCCCAGAGATAGGGGCAGGTGGTCTGCCTGTCCAGCTGGCTTTATCAAACATTTCGGATAACAATTTGTTCATATGGAATTACATTTTGTTCATTTGAGACCAAGATCTATATTACAATCTCTTAACCCAAATAATAATTTATCATTGATTCAATTTTGATTAAATTCCTGCTATTTTCATTTATTTGGTAAGAAACACATAGCAATTGATAAAATATCTTATTAACAATATTATTTATATGATTATTTTATCTTATTTTTAGGTATTAACCTCAAATTTGACCAAAATCTCTGCATAATATTGATTCATAAGAATATACTATTCTTTGTTTTTCTCAAAATGTTATTTTGCTCTAGTACGTATCCTTCAGGAAGCTAAACCTATAAAACATATTAATGACTTACCCACTGTTTACCTATATCTTCTATAGCTGGAACCCTCAAGCACCAATAAACTTAAGTGCTTGTTTTGCTCGCGAAATTATCCTAGAGACCAACCAGATGAGACTATTTGTGGTAAAACGCTGAATCTTGTCATATAAATGCCCAATCTGAAGGATTCTTCCACTTTCAATAATTAAGCTAACTAAACCTCATTAGGGAAAGCAAAATAGATGTAGATACAAAGTCCTAAAGTGATTCCCAATTTTTACTGGTTCCATTTGGTGATTGCGTGACTTACGAAGACTCATTATTTTTCTTGATGGTTCTAACACTTCCTAATTCTCTACTTAGAAATGAAGATGAAAATAACATGTCAAGATCATCATTTTTTCATATTTCCTTGTGTTCAAGTTTGACATGTCAACTGAATATAAGTTCTCATTTCCATAAAATGTCCCGTATCATTACTACGTCACGATGCAATAAAACTTAATTTTCTTCTCTTAAATCTATCATTTACTTCACTCTTAATAAGTCATCCAAAGCTTACATTTATTAAGCCCAAATGAAAAACCAGTTACTCTGTCTGTATATTCTGCATTATTGTTTTATGTAAAATAAAATCACAATAGTTATTCAACTTCTTCAATACAATCAATGTTTCATATGCTGGAACAATCCAATAACACAGTTGAGTGATGTAATATCAATGTGTTAATTGTGGCATAATACAATATCCTTATTTCAACAACTCTTGTACATTTTGATAAACATCACTATTCTTAGGTAAGTGCTGAATGATTATAGATTATATATTGTAATCAATAACTTCAAGTTGTAACAAGAGAATGACATAATATACCACAAGAACTTCCTCAATAAACAGTTGTACCAGAACATTTCACACCAAAGATTTTACATATTTTTCCAAAATGTACCCTCAATATATTCTTTGAAATACTGAAGAGAAATCAAGATGAAGCTTTTCCACAAATGCTATGATGAAGATCAAACAAACCTTTTTTTAATGTAGATCCAAATGCTTGTAAAGAGGAATTTAAACTCAAATGTGGTCAAACCTACAATTTAACAAAAAATGATGATTGGCCAAAATTTCAATATATTCAGCTATAAGTTAAGTTAAACTTAAAAAGGTGACCATATGATATTCCCTATATGTAGAACTCTCTACATCTTTTCAAGCATGTATTATCATTTATAAAAGTGCAATTGAAACAAAATACAACTTGACACTCAACAAAAATCAATTCGTAAATGCCATACTTTGAAATAAATCCAAATTCTCCTACTAGTAAAGTGCTCTTCTGTAAACTCACCTGGAACTTCAAAGGAATCAGTGTATAAAATATACCATGGTAACTAGGAAAACCAGTGATTCATAAATAAGTCAACAGACAATAAAAAATCTCTGAGAGTTTGATAAAGATCAAAGGGTGTGATCCAAGCGTGATTACTCAATGGAAAGTATCTAAATATAATTTTATATGTACTTTGGAGAACTATAGTTTGTGTGTTTTATTGTACTACAGTATTAAGTTTTTTCTTAATTAGGTTTTTCCTTTTTTGCCTTTTGTGCTTTCTTATCTTAGGAACTGATTGAATATGTATCCAGCCTATCATCTTTATCTAACTTCTACATTGTAAATTAAAGCATGGGCTGCACATGATTTAAAAAATGCCCCACATCACCCAGAGAACCTGGAAAGCCAGTGATACTTAACGTGACCATACAATTTAGAATTAGATGGGTAATAAAAAAGAGTTAAATTGTGATTAAGTCAGGTAATCCTCATCAAACATTGCAAAGCTGGGAAATATAAATCTTGATTATTGCAGAGATTTTTATTAATTCTAGACATTAAAATGGTATAGATGAATGCTTGCATATCTGAACTATATTTCCACCAACTAAATCCA